CTTCAGTCCCTGGCACTTGGACTCTTTTGTGCTGTATAAATTTAATTTAAGGTCTGAATCCTTCCTGTGCTGCCAGCAGCAGGTCCAGAATAAGTCTGGCAAAGCTTTTCCAGGCAGGAGAAAATGGCTGAGCAGCACAGGAGGGGAAACTCTCAGAGAAATGGTTTTGAGTCAAAAAGAAACTTCAGCAGTTAATTTTTTCTTCTTTATTAGGGGAAAGAAAGTTCCAAAAACCTGCCTCTCTGGCCTGGGCTGGAGAAAAGATATGAGCCACCAGAATCCTTTTTCTCAGCTCTTAACATCTGGCTCCAAGCAGAGAGGGTGAGTGTGGGCTCCAAAGAGCCAGGCTGGGCCTGAGCAGAGACAGGTTTGGCTTTATCTGGCAGTCTTGGATTTGGGGTTATTTCTGCAGGAGAAGCCACAGAGGCACTGAGGGCTGGGTGTTGCCAGAGCTGCTGCCGAGAACACAGCTCTGTGTCAGAGCCTGTTCTGTGTGAGTGAGGAATGACTTCATTCCCGTGTCTTACAGGAGGCTGACGGTCAGCAGCAGCCGAGAGAGGAGAAAAAGCCCATTCCACCAGCAGCCCCTGGGACGTGGCCCAAAAAAGCCGTCAAGGTGAGCCCTGGCCCCGGCGCCACCCTCGGGCCACCCCCGCCTGCTGTGGCTCCTTGTCCCCCGCGGTACAGCCATGGCACGGAGGGGCAGCTGGAAAAACAAGGGGCTGGAGGCGGAAAAGATGCTGGAAGCGGCCACGGGAGGGCAGCAGGGCCTGAGGCGACGTCCCGAGGGGAGCGGCCCTGGGCAGCCGGGCTTGTGCCAGCCGCAAATGCGGACGGAGCCTTCTTCCATGGGCAGAGCGGCAGGAGAGGCTGCTCGGAGCTGGGATGCAACGCTGCCTCTGCCGGGAATCTGCTGTGGGCTCCGTCCTGGCTGTGCCAGAGCTCCAGCGAGGGAAAACCGAAGGGTTTAGGTGCAGAGTTGAGTGCTGGGACGTGCACAGTGTGCCTTTCCCAGGTTTTTCCACAGAAAACAGGAGGGGAGGGAGGGTTAAGAGCAGGTGTCAAGGCACGGAGCCCAGTGATGGTTTTGTGTTGGTTCAGGATTGGAGCACTTTGGGGCTCTGGTGGCCATCCCAGCCATGGAAGTGCTGCTCCCTTTGCTCATCGCTGCTCTCTGTGTGGTTTCAGAAATCCCTCTCCACATCCTGCCTCGGGTCCCTGGAGAGTGCTCAGGAACCAGCATCGCCCCCGGCCAACGAGAACAGCTACGGGCTGGATCTGAACAGCGACGACTCCACAGATGATGAGAGCAACCCTCGGAAGCCCGTCCCTGCCTGGGCTGATGGTAGGTGCCAGCTCTGGGCTGGCTTCCTTTCCCTCCTGCCCTGGAGCTTTCCAGCCTTGCTTGGAGCCATCCCAGTGCGCAGTCCAGGAGCGTGTGCGCCTCTGGCAGCTCCCAGCTCTGTGTGCTGAGGGCATCAGCGCCGCTTCCTGCGAGCTCTCATGGGCTGAGGTGACACCAGAGCCCTCTGAAAGGGGCACAGCTCCTGAGGAGCAGCGGGGTGTGGTGGCAGTGGGACGTGTCCCACCGCTGCTGCCCGGCCGGTGGCTCTCGGAGGGGAAGGGGAGTGCCGGTGCCGCGGGCCTGCAGTGTGTGCTGTTCCCGTTGTTCCCGCAGGGGCGCAGCTCCAGCAGGCCATCGTGCACCAGTACTACCACCCGGTGGACCTGGACGCGCTGTTCGGGACCATCCCCAGCCCCAAGCTGGAGGACATCTTCTACAAGAGCAAACCCCGCTACTTCAAGCGCACCAGCTCGGCCGTGTGGCACTCCCCGCCCTGCCCCTCCTGCGGCCCCTCCTGCTCCTTCCAGAGCTGAACCGAGGTGGTTTCTAGGCTCTGTGTTCTACTTGCCCTGTGTTGACAATTTTAACTTTGTATTCTTCTTTTGTACAGAAATAAAGTTGTTTATTCAAGTCCCGCAGTCACCGGGTGTGTCTCCTTCCCCTTACCTTGGTGCCTGTTGCTTTTGCCTTGCTGGAATCACAGTTGCTAATCTGCAACCAGAGCCATTTCCTAGTCTGCCTCATTTCCTATTCACTTAGGATATTCTCTTGCTCAAGGAAGCTTGGAAATTGCTTTAAGGAAGATCAGGTTTTTAAATCATTGAGGGGATAATGTTTTTGTAACCCTTTTTCTATATATTTACTGTATTTATGTCTTTATCTATACTGTCTTAATTATCTGCAATTCCTTTTCTTTAACAATGCCTGTGTACTCATCTTAGTCTGAGCCAGAATCTTCTTCCTGCTGTTGGAAAAATCTCCCTGGACAATTCAAGCAATGGCTAATGCCTCCTCACCCTTTTTTTTTCTAATGGGAAAAGGAAGCCCAGGCTCAGCTCTGGATCCTGTTGTGGCAGGATCAGTGGCACAGCCTGTCTTGGGCAGAAGCTGGGTTGATTTGGGAAGGGTGAGGAAGGGGGGATGGTTCTCCAGCGATCTGTCAGTGTGGCACCCTCAGTAGCAGAGCTGCATCCATCCCACTCCTTCTTTCTTCCTTTCCCAAGCCTGAGTGCACATGGATTGACAGGAGCAAGGATAGATTGAAACAGAAAAGGCTCTGGCTGTAAGGTGGATTTATGGAGCCAGAATCCCTGGAGCTGTCCTGCCACTCCTTCCACAGAAAGAGGCTGAAAGTGCTTGGACTGCTTGGTCCCAGAGCCAGTGCTCACCCAAGGGGCCTTTTTGTCCCAGGAATGCTTTTTGGCTGGGATCAGGAAGGGAGGACAGCCAGGATAAGCTGGGGAGGACAGCCAGGCTCCTTCCCACCCCAGAGGGCAGCATCTGTCCCCCGGCTTCCTCAGGGATGCTGTCCCTGTGGCCACCTCCACAGGGGATTGGGTGAGGAGGACACGAGCTCTGCTGCAGCCCAGCGTCAGTCAGGACCATTTCCCAGTTTCTTTGGTGCCAGTGGAGCCCGGAACAGTGGGGGAGTGGAAAAAACCCTCGGCGCCAACAGCTGCTGGCAGGGCTGTGCTGCCAGGCTCCGGGCTGAGCGCTAATGAGGTGTCTGTGCTGCTGCTGGCTCTGCTCGGCTCCTGGAGCCCGCTGGGAGCCCGGCCTCACGCTCCAGGAGCTCCCAGGAGCTTGCAGGGAGCTGGGAGCAGCGCTGGTTAATGCCACCCCAGGAGAGGCGGCTGTGCCGTCTGTCTGCCAGCTCCACACTGGGGAGGATCCATCCCATGGGATGCGGGGAGCAAAAGGCCCCCAGCACCGGCATCGGGCTCCAGTGCCAGCTGGAAAAAGGAGCAGCTCCATGAAATCAGCAGGAGAGAATCGAGCAGGGATCCCCTAGACGTGGGCGGGCTGGATGTGGAAGTGCCTCCTTCCTAGAAATGCTGGAGCCATGGTGTTGCACCATTCCAGGAGCAAACCGTGAGCATCCCTGTGATCCCAAAGGGCCCTTCTCAGGTGGGAGGGGGCAGATGGCTGACCCCACTGTGTCCCTCCAAACGGAGAAGGGAATGTTTCAGCTTGCGTGAAGCAAAATAATCCACGTCAACCTGAGGCATTTTCCAGCGCTGTGAGCACAGCAGGAGCACGGAAGGGTGACAGTGCCCCTTGAATCCCAGCAGTCCCTTCGGATCCTAGAGCTCCCCTTGGATCCCGGCTGCCTCGTTTCTCCCCTCTGCCGCCACGTCATCTGTTTCTGTTTTCAGTGCTTGGGAACCCCTGATTCACCCCATCCCACGAGGATGCTTCCCGGGGCTGGGAGAGAGTGGGAGGGCTGGGGATCGGGGCAGGGGAGCAGGATGGAGTCCTCTGCCTGCTCCATCCCTGCCGGGTGCCGTGCGGGTGCGGGTCCCCCGGCCTGGGCAGGGGGTCCCTGAGGCGGGGGCACCTCCGCCCGCCGCTGTCTCCCCGGCTCGGCGGCTCCGCATCCCGCTCTCCTGTTGCTCAGAGATGTGGAGGCAGTTGCTAAGAGACACCGACACGTCAGTATCTGGCCCTAAGGAAAAAAAGAGGAAAAAAAAAAAAGAGACAGAGAAAGAGAGAGACAAGGGAGGACGAGGAGGAGGAGGGGAGGAAGGAGGTGGGGAAAGACCTGCTCCCATCGCTGGGCTCGCAGCAGCCTTGGCGGCCGCTGCCGAAGCCCAGCTCCCGACTTGGCGGCCTCCGGGGTGTGGCCGGCCACCGGGGACCCCGCCGTCCCCATCTGGAGCCCCCCACATCGCCCCTGCGGACCCCCACATCACCGCAGGGAGCCAGGCCCTGCTCCCTCGCTGGCCAGTGAGTACCCAGGGGTAGCCCGGCCTCACCGGAGGGCTCGGGGCGCTGTGGGCATGGGAGTGACCGGGCTAAGGTGGGCCGGTGGGAGAGGATGGAGCTGGGGCTGCGGGCGAGGGAGGATGGAGCAGACACGGTCAGGTGGCGGGGGGCGAGGGCAGGCCTGGGGGGACCCCGGTGGGTGCTGGGAATGGGGATCTTCCCCCGGGAGAGAGGCGGGGAGGGTGTCCCTGGCACCGGGCTCAGCTCGTGGTGGCGGGGGGCTGGCGGGGGGCCGTGGAGCAGCACCTCTGCCCTGCCCACCACCAGCCAAGACGGGCTGGCCAAGGTCAGCAGGTCTGGGGGGGCCTTTTCTGCCTGGAATCCCAGGGGGATGCTTGGAGGAGCGACCGTGGCCCGGGGGTACGGGGAGGCTGTGGGTGCCCCGGAGGCCACGCCGGGCTGCAGCAGTGGCGCTCCCCCGGCGGGGCGTGCGGCCGGCACGGCTCCCCCCTCTGCTCTTCCTCGCAGGCGGCTGGTGACGGCCCGACGCCGGCCCCGCCGGTGCCCCCGGAGGGGTTGGCGTTGCTCCCCGGATGCCGCCGGGATGCCGGGAACGTCGCCGTGACCGCCGCCAGCCCGGCCCCGCGGCCGGCCGCCGGCAGCCCTCGGCGTGAGCGGGCGGGCGGGATGGCCCCCGGCGGTGCCCCGTGAGGGCCGCGGCCACGAGGCCATGCTGCTGGGCCCCTGGCTGCTGGCGGCGGCGGCGGCGGTGGCGGCGGCGGGCGCGGGCTGCCCGGTGCTGTGCAGCTGCCGCGGGCAGGCCGTGGACTGCAGCGGGCAGCGGCTCTTCTCCGTGCCCCCCGAGCTGCCGCTGGACACCGGCAACCTGAGCCTGGCCCACAACCGCATCGCCAGCATCCCGCCGGGCTACCTGGGCTGCTACGGGCAGCTGCGCGCCCTCGACCTGCGCAACAACTCCCTGGCGGCGCTGCCGGCCGGGCTGTTCCGCGGCGCCCGGCGCCTGGCGCACCTGGACCTGAGCTACAACAACTTCAGCCTGGTGCCCGCCGACATGTTCCGCGAGGCCAGCGCGCTGCTGCGCCTCGACCTCAGCCACAACCCGGGGCTGCGCCGCGTCCACCCGCAGGCCTTCCGCGGCCTGGCCCAGCTGCGGGAGCTGGACCTGAGCTACGGCGGCCTGGCCGCCCTCAGCCTCGACGCCCTGGAGGGGCTGCCCGGCCTCGTGGGGCTGCGCCTGGGGGGCAACCCCTGGCTCTGCGGCTGCGCCATGGAGCCGCTCCTCAAGTGGCTGCGGGGCCGCATCCAGCGCTGCTCCTCGGGTACGTGCCGCCGGGACCCCCGCGCCCCGTCCCGCACGGGGGCCGGCGGCCGGGCTGACGCCGTCCCCGTCCTTCCATCCCGCAGATTCGCAGCAGGCCGAGTGCTGGGCTCCCCCCGAGGTGGCGGGGGCCCCGCTGCTGTCGCTGACGGAGGAGAGCTTCCAGGCCTGCCACCTGACGCTGACCCTCGACGACTATCTCTTCATCGCCTTCGTCGGCTTCGTCGTCTCCATCGCCTCGGTGGCCACCAACTTCCTGCTGGGCATCACGGCCAACTGCTGCCACCGCTGGAGCAAGGCCAGCGAGGACGAGGACGTTTAGGGACCGCCGCTGCCACCGCCGCCGATTGACCCCCGCCCCGGCCACCCCCCGGCCCGGCCGCCCCCGCGGGGACACCAGACTGTGCCTTGTCCGCGTCCCCTCCTGCCGCCCCCCGTGCCGGGGTGGCCCTCGAGGCGCCGGGGACACCAGGGGACAGCCCTGCTCCCTTCTGCCCCAAAGTGGGGAGTTTTTGCACCCCCCCATCACCGTGAGCTTGGACCCCCTCCTGTGCTGTTCCCACTACCCAGGACTGGTTGAGGCAGCGATTTGGGAATCCCCTGGGAACCCCCCCCAGCTCTGCCTGGGAGAGACAGAGGACAAAGTGTGTGTGTCTTGGGAACCACAGCCACTCTCCTGGGGGCATCGAGGAAATCCCTGCTTTCAGCCCCAAAGCAGCACCGCTGGAGCCCCCCAAATCCTGCACATACTCTCCAGCCTCCCCAAAAATCCAGGGGGCCAGGAAGCATTGCTGACACTCAGCTCGTCACCACTGTTCCAGGGCGTGCCTGCACCTTGCTGGTGACATCAGGTTGTGCTGGAACAGCACCGGGACCACCAAGCCTGGCAGTGGGATGGGCTCTGACATCTCCAGGGGATGGAATCTCCCAAGGATGGCACCTTCCAGGGACTGCATCTCCCAGAGATGACATCTGCCTCCTCTTCGGGGCCAACCCGGGCACCGGCACTGCCCACCCTGGGGGAGGTCTGGGAGCTGGAAGGAGCTCTAAAAAAGGGCAAAACAAGAAAAAAAAAAGCAAAAAGCAGAAAGCCAACGACCCTCTGTCCAGCCGGGACAGCCATGTCCCCAGTGCCTGTGTCACCTGTCCCTGGTGTCTGTGTCACCCTGTCACTGTGGGAGCACATCAGTGGGGAGCGGGGCTGGGGTCACCTGAGGGCTGCTTTGTCCCTTCCCCTGTCCCCCATGGAGGCTGAGTGCATGGGGAGGGGGGTTTGGTTTAACCCCAGCCCACCCCAAAAGGGCTCCTGCTGCACCCCAGCCTCAGCACTGCCCCCAGGAAAGGGAACTTGGCCTCTGCCTTCTCTGTTTTGTCTGGGGTTTTATTATTTTCCTTTCAGTGAGTCCAAGAACCCCCCTGCTCCACACCCCCTGCACCCCCACAACTCCTGCACCCCAGGATCAGCCACATGGGCATGGAGCATCCACCTGCATCCCACCAGCTCCTTCCTCTGCCTCACCTCATCCTCTTCTTTTTGTATTTATATTTATGTTTTATTTTCCTTCTCCTTTGTTTCTCCTTCTCTTTTGTTTCTCCTTGTCTTTTGATTTCCTTTCCTTTCCTTTCCTTTCCTTTCCTTTCCTTTCCTTTCCTTTCCTTTCCTTTCCTTTCCTTTCCTCCCCTTGTCTTCTTAGACTTTTCTTTTCTTTTCTTTTCTTTTCTTTTCTTTTCTTTTCTTTTCTTTTCTTTTCTTTTCTTTTCTTTTCTCTTTTCTTTTCCTCTTCCTTTTCCTTTTTTTTTCTTTTCTTTTTACTTTTCCTTTTCTTTTTCTTTCCCTTTTTCCTTTCTTTTCCTTTCCTTTTTCTCTCTTCTCCCCCAACCCCGCTCTTTGTACGTTTTGTAACCGCGGGTTTTGTACCACGGGGCACTTTTTCAGCGCCAAACCTCGACAATAAAGAGTGTCAGCGCAGCCAGGGCCGGGGCACGCGTGTGGCGGGGGGGCACGCGTGTGTGACAGGGACATGTGTGTGCGGGCACACTGTGTGTGTGTGACAGGGACATGCATGTGCAGGGACACTGTGTGTGTGTGACAGGGCCATGTGTGGGGACACTGTGTGTGTGTGACAGGGCCGTGTGTGTGTGTGGGGACACTGTGTGTGTGACAGGGCCGTGTGTGGGGACACTGTGTGTGTGTGACAGGGCCGTGTGTGTGTGGGGACACTGTGTGTGTGACAGGGCCGTGTGTGGGGACACTGTGTGTGTGTGACAGGGCCGTGTGTGTGCGGGCACACTGTGTGTGTGTGACAGGGACATGCATGTGCAGGGACACTGTGTGTGTGTGACAGGGCCGTGTGTGGGGACACTGTGTGTGTGTGACAGGGCCATGTGTGGGGACACTGTGTGTGTGTGACAGGGCCGTGTGTGTGCGGGCACACTGTGTGTGTGTGACAGGGACATGCATGTGCAGGGACACTGTGTGTGTGTAACAGGGCCGTGTGTGTGGGGACACTGTGTGTGTGTGACAGGGCCGTGTGTGTGTGTGGGGACACTGTGTGTGTGTGACAGGGACATGTGTGTGTGGGGACACTGTGTGTGTGACAGGGCCGTGTGTGTGTGTGTGGGGACACTGTGTGTGTGACAGGGCCATGTGTGTGTGTGGGGACACTGTGTGTGTGACAGGGCCGTGTGTGTGGCAGACACCCGGCTGCGTGCAGCGGGCACAACAGCGTCCCGCAGCCTGCAGAAGGCATCAGCCGCGCTCTTCCCTCCAGCGCTTCCTGTTATTCCTCCGGCAGCATCTCCCGGCCCCGGCGGGGCCCAGCTGTGGCCGCCGGGTCACCTCCGCGTCCCCCCCTCCCCGGGAGCCCCTCGGGGGGACGCGGGCCCGTCCCGCCCGGCCGGAGCGCAGAGGTCGGGCAGCAGCTGTGCCGCGTCCGGCCGCGCCGGGGGAGCCGTGGGGGCAGCGGCCGTCAGTGGCACCCCCGCACCCGGGCATTGCCCTGCCATCCCTCTTTCCATGCGCCCATCCTTCCCTTCCTCCCTCCCATCCATCCATCCATCCATCCATCCATCCATCCATCCACATAATACAATCCCACCTCCCATCTCAAACCTCCCGCACCCACCAAAACTGGCCCCCCATCTTTTCCACCCCTTTTCCTCTCTCTGTCCTCTCCTCAGTCCTGCAGGATCACACGGGGTCCACCAGACCTTCGGGGGTCCCCTCATATTGCGGGGGGAGAGGGGTTTGTCACCCCACAGTGGCAAAAGTTTCAGAGCGCTGGGTGTGGAGCCGAAGCTTTCCTGCGGCTTTGGCAAATCCGAGTTTTCCCGGCACAAACGGGAGCTGCAGCCCCCCCACCCACGCGGGCCCCCCCTCCGTTTGCTGTGGGGCGGGAGGTGTGAAGGAGCCCGAGCCGGGCTGTAAACACGGAGGGCACTTCAAAGGGGACGCCCGGGGACATCCTTAGCACCACCAGATTATTTCGGCACCCCCGGGCGGGATGCGAGGCGGGGGGAGGTCGGGGGGCGAACATCCCGTTTGGCAGCTTGGAAAAGCGCAGTGGGGGGAGAGCTGCGGTGGTTGGGGGGGACCTGTCCCCATCCTTGCCCCAATTCCTGGTGCATCCATCCTCCCCGGAGCCCACTTTTACTCCGTGTGCAGAATAATCTCTCTTTCCTCAGTGTCACATTCCCACAACCACGGTTTGGGGAACCCTGGCCGCGCCCCCCAGCCCTGCAGCGTCCCCAAGGCATCGCATTGCGGGGTTTGAGCGCTCCCTGAGGATCACACCCCCCCACACTCCCCAGCCATCCTTTCCAAGGATGCTCCCCATCCCCCCGTGCCTGCTGTCCCCCTCTATCTTCCCTCCTCATCTTCCCCAGGCGCTCTCAGGAAGGCAACACCTTCCTTATCTTCTTCCGACGGGTGGTCCGGCCCTGCTGCCCCTCACCCCCAGCTCCGGCCTTGTTATTTTCTGGAGTGTCCCTGCATTTCTCCCCAGGGACTCCTCAACCAAACATTTCCCTCCTGGAAGGGAAAGGGAAATCTCCAAGACGAGGATAGAAAGTCGGCAGCTCCGTCTCCGCTGGCCGGGCGCCTGCGGCCATTTCCGCGCCCGGCGGCTGAGCCGGACGGGGGGAGGCAGCAAAGCCGAAACCCCCACAGGGCTGGGGGGTTTAGGGGTCGTGGAGGGATGGAGGGAGAGCAGGAGGGTGGGATGGAGGCATGAGCAAAGGGAGGGAGAGAAGGGAATAATCGTAGGATCATCAAGGTTGGAAGACCTTTATGATCAGATCCAACCATCAACCCAGCAACGCCCCTGTAACCCCAAAACCATTAACCCACGGATGGATGGATGGATGGATGGATGGATGGATGGATGGATGGATGGATGGAGGAGGGGACTGTTGGACTGATGGATGTACAGCTGGATCGACAGATGGATGAGAGATATCCAGGGGTCTCTCCAGGCTGAGGGAGCCTGGATGGCTCTGGAATGTAAACACACTTTGGGACGTGTCCCTGGATGCAACATTCCCACTCCTCAAGCCCCCCCCCAACCCTTAGACCAAACCAGATCCATCTGGAAACTCCCCAAAACCCTCAAGGAGGCTCCCACCCCTCCAGCTGGGGGGTTGTGTGGTCCCCAGCCTCCTGGCCACCTCCTCTGTGCCCTGTCTCTGGACAAAGGACTGTCCCCACACGGGGAGACCCCGGGCGGTGGCCCCTAAACATGGCAGGAAGGCGGAGGCAGCTCCCCCGACGGGAAGCATCCCAAGGAACCCAGTAATGATCCCACATCCTTTCCAAGAGAGAACAAAGGCTGAGGAGATAGCATAGTTCATCACCGATAAATGAAGGATGTAAATAGCAAATACGGGGAAGATTTATTTCGAGCAGAGCCTCAGGAAACAGCGGGGGCTGGGAAGGGGGGAAATGGGACAGGAGCCATTTGCTGGCTCATCCAAATCCTGGTTGGGGTGAGCCGGGGTCCTGCCCGGTGCCCAAACCTCCCATCAATGCCCAGAGGGTCCTGTGTCCCTCTTCATACCCCGAGGGTCCCGTGTCCCCATCTGCACCCGGGGGCTGCCATGTCCCCATCCCTCAGGTTTGGGTGTTTCACACCACCAGCTCCTGTTTGCACACCCGGGTGAGTCACCCGGGGCTCGTCCCAGACTCAGATAAGGAAAAAAGCCCCAAAATGGGATTTGGGATTTCAGTGCTGCCGCCTGATGCAATCACGGCTGGGGGGCTGTGGCGGGCAGGTGCCCACCCCACGGGGTCCAACACCCCCACCCCGGTGCTGCAATGCCCCGAAGGGTTGGGATGGAGGTTCTCCTGCGTTTCCCAAAGTGTTGCTGAGGAACAGACCAGGAGAATCCATCTCAGGCAGAGATGCCCCGTAGTGCACACACACCCCACACTCACTGCGCCCTCGATCACGGGCACCCTCCATCCTCCACACCCCTCCATCCTCCCTTCCACCACATCCCCCAGCCCCCGAGGGAACTGCGCACACCCTGCTCCTTTTTTAACCAAAAATTCATTTATTTGTAACAAAACACAAAGCCTTGGGGGTGCCGGGGGAGCCGCTCCCGCCTGAGCCCCCCAGGGGCTCCTCCCCGGCTGTGCCTCAGTTTCCCCTTCCCGCGAGCAGGGCTTTCCAGCGGGGCATCCCCAAAGCAAGCCAGGCTTTGGGGCGAGGCCGAGGGGGGTGTTCCCCCCGAGGAGACCAGCTCGGGGGGCGCAGGGGGCGGTCGGGGACGGGCTCAGGAGCGGAAGAGCGTCTCCTGGGTGGCGGGGTCCAGCTTGCCGCCCGGGCCGGGGCCGCCCTTGCCGCCGGGGGGGTGGCTGTGCCCCGAGGAGTAGCTGGCGGAGCGCTCGGGGCCGGGGCCGGGGGTCCGGCAGCAGAGCAGGGCGGCGCAGGCGTGGCGGAAGCGGGGGTCGAAGAAGGCGTAGAGGAAGGGGTTGAGGCAGCTGTTGATGTAGGCGATGCCCGTGCAGTAGGGATGCAGGTTGTTGAGGAAGGTGTGGAGGGCGCAGGACCAGGGCAGCACCTCCAGGTCCATCAGCACGTAGAGGGTCTTGACCAGGTGGAAGGGCAGCCAGCAGCCCCCGAAGGCGGCCACCAGCACCGTGATGATGGTGAGCAGCCGCTTGCGCTTGCGGGGCCCCTCGGCCCGCTCCCGGCGGAAGTGAGTGGCCACGGTGCGGGCGATGAAGAAGTAGCAGGTCAGCATCACGGCGAACGGGGCCACGAAGCCCAGGGCGGTGGAGGAGAGCCCCAGCCCCACCTCCCAGGCGCCCTCGGTGCCCTGCGCCGCCAGGTCCCCGTAGTCCATGTAGCAGGTGATCTTGGTGTCCCCGTCGAGCGCGGCCGCCCGCCGCAGCACCAGCGCGGGCAGCGCCAGCAGCGCGGCCAGCAGCCACAGCGCCACCGTGGCCACCAGCCCGCTGACCCGCGAGCGCAGCTTGGCCGTGGCCAGCGGCCGCACGATGGCCAGGTAGCGGTCGAAGCTGAGGCCGGTGAGGCAGAAGACGCTGGCGTACATGTTGACGAACACCAGGTAGCTGCTGACCTTGCAGGCGGCCGTGCCGAAGGGCCAGTGGTAGCCCAGCCAGGCGTAGGCGGCCCACAGGGGCAGCGTGACCACGAAGGTGAGGTCGGCCACGGCCAGGTTGGCGATGAAGGTGTCGGCCGAGCGCCGGCGGTCGCGGCCGCCCTTGAAGACGGTCCAGAGGACGAGCCCGTTGCCGGTGGTGCCCAGCAGGAAGACCAGCAGGTAGATGGTGGGCAGCAGGGCCAGCGAGGGGCCCCACTCCTCGTACTCGCAGTCCGTATCGTTGTCGAAGCCGTAGCTGTAGGCGTCCGTCGTCTCCTCCATCCCGGCGCTGGGCTCCGCTCCGCTCAGCTCATCCCGGGCTCAGCCGCTCCTGCGGCCCCGGCGCGAATCCCACCGCGTTACCTCCCCTTCCTCCTCCTCCTCGCCCTCCTCCTGGAGGGGACGGGCGGGACGGGGCAGGAGGCAGGGCCGGGGGGAGCCCCCGTGGGAAACTTCACAGCTCCCCCCACCTCCATCTGGCTCCTGCCGGGCGGTTTTACCGAGCTCTCACCCGCGTGTCAACGCGCCGACCCCCGCGATAACCCCGGCCTCGCCGCGCCCGCGGCTTCGGGCGCCCACCACGGCGGCGGTCGGGGCTGGGATCAGGCTCTGGGGAGCTCGGGAACGGGGGGGCTGCGGGCAGCATTTGGGGTTTTACCTCGGGGTGCCGCATTCGGCACCGGGGTGTCACACATCGGGGCTGCGTTTCGCACGGGCGGTGTCACATCGGGCACTTGGCGGCGGGGGGGTCGCGCTGGGGGTTGGTGTCACACTGGAGGGAGTGGCACTGCGGGGCGGGGGGGGGAGGGTGTGCATTTGGCATTTTGCATTTGGCATTTTGCGTTTGGCACTTGGGATTCCCCGTTTTGCTGCCATCTTTGCACGCAGCGGTGGCTCCGCGGGGTCCCCCAGCGCCGGGGCTCCACTTTGAGCACAAAGTGCCGAGGAGATTATACATTTAGCAAAAATCCTGGGCGGGGAGGGCGGCTCTGAGACCCCCCACGCTGTAAAATGACCATTTTAGGGCAGCAGCTGCCGCAGGACCGGCTGCCACCGGAGCTCTCCGTGCGTCCCAGCTCCGCGGGTTGCTGATGGAGCAGCAACGCTGAGCCAAGAGGGAACAAACTTCCCCCACCCCACAAATAAACACTGGGGGGAGGAGGGAAGGCCCCCGAGGTGGTCTGCGATTGTCCCACTGGGACTGAACTCTCACAGTTCTAGCTCTGGGGAAAAGAACCGAAGAAGCCGAGCGGGACTTTGCAGAGTGAGGTCTGAAGAGCCCCAAATCCGCCGGGACAAGCAGGGGGGGCTGGGCTGGGGCTGTAGGGGGGGATTAAGCACGGGATGGGCTGTGGGAAGGGGCAGGTTTAACACCCCAGCGCAGGGACGGAGGCTGGTGGGGGGCACAGAGCCCCCGGGACCCCCCACCGGCTCAGTGGGGCCCATCTACCAGCAAAGAGGTGCGAAGGAGGGGCTGTGGGGGGAATTCAGCGGCTGAAATAGCGGGGGAGAGCTCACAGGAGCTCCAAAATGAGTGGTGTAGGGGGAAAGGGCTCGGTAAATGGGGGTGCAGGTTAGGGGACTCCGGGGGTGGGGGCACCAAACCAGACACCCAGAGCTGCAGCATCAGCCAGGAGAGCAAAGCAGGCTGGAGATAAGGAGCGATCCCGTATCGCAGTGCCGGGACAGCCGGCATGCGGGGAGAGAGGTATGAAAGGCAGGAGCTGCTGAAAGCGGTGGCAGAACGGCGAAGGTGCCCAGTTCCAGTTCAAATCCCAGGCTGGAATGAAGAAGGGCCGGAACCCCGCAGTCCCCAGCGCAGACACAGCTCGAGCCTTTCCGCTAATTAGCAGCATTAACGGGGAAACACCGGCGCTGCTAATGAGCCCCCCGGGATCGCAGCGAGGCTCCCCGGGCCGCTCCCGCCCTGGCCGGAGCCCCGTTAATGAGCAGGACCGCTAATGAGCGGTTCTATTAATGACTATTAATAACATTCCCAGCTATCTGTGTCCTAATTGGAACACGGCACAAGTATCCATTTCCAGCCGCCGCACATCAATCCGTTTCCAGTCTCTTCCCTTTCCAAAAGCTGCGGGTTGAGTGTCCCGGTCCCCCCCTCGCTGTCCTGAAGCTGGGGTGCCTCCCCTTCGCTGCCACCCTGGGGGTCCCTTGGTCCCGGCGCCGGGGACGAAGCCCCCGAGGCTGGGTTTGTGGTGGTGGGTGGGCGGCCAGGGCTGGGCTGATAAGGAATCCGTGGGGTTGATAAGGAATCCGTGGGGCTGATAAGGAGCCCCGCTATCTGCAGCGGGGGGAGGGTAGGAGCCTCTCTCCCTGCGGGGCGGGGGCTGTCCTGGGCACCAGCGAGGGGCTCCGGGGCCCTCGTTTGGCATTCCCAAGAATGAACCCCAGCGGCTCCGTTGGGAACAAGCCAGGCTCACGGCATCCCTCCCCACTGGTTCTGCAGGGGGATTGGGGTGGGAGTCCCCACGGGGCAGGATGACGAGCCAGAGCTCACCCCCCTCACCCCATCCTGGGAGCCAGAGCTCACCCCCTGACCCCGTCCCGAGCAGGAAGGGCAGCGCTTGGCCCTGCACGAGGAGCCATCCTGGAGCTTCCTCCGAATCCACAGAGTTACTCACATCCGACCGAGGAAGTGACAGCCCGAGGGCACAGCTCCTGTCCCTCTGTGCCCCCTTCCCTTCCACGGGCTGCGCTGCGGGCACGGCGCTCCTCCTGTTGGCAGCTCCCCCCGCGGTGTCCCCCATCCCAGGGACAGCACCCTGACCCCTCTTCCCTCTGCTCCCGCACCCCAAGCCTGCCCGTCGGCCCCCCAAAAACTGCCCCGCGCGCCCCCCAAGGCTGGACACGGGTGGGTGCTGCGAGCCACGGGTTTATTGGGGGGCATGGGGTGGCAAGGACAGGGAGGTGCTGCAGGAGGGGCACTCTGGGGGCAAGGGACAGTGATCGTATGGACACTGGGGACACTGGGATGTACCCGGGGTGGGCACTGGGGACAGTCAGATGCTGATGGGGCTCACAGGGGGAGCACTGGGGACTGGGGGGCAATAGGAGCCCGACGGGGTCTCGGCTGCCCCACAGCGTGGTGGACCGGCAGGAGCTGCCCCATGGCCCCCGGGCTAGAGGCCGAGGGAGAAGGTGCCCGAGTCGGTGGATTGCTTGTCCCGGGAGCAGGTCCCCAGCGCCCCGGGGGGACACGCTGAGGGGGTGGCGGGCACGCCGGCCTCTGACACCTGTGGGACAGGGGACAGAGGCACTGGGTGAGTCACTGCAGCGGGGGGGGGGGGGCTGGTCGAGCCCCCCGAGGTGTCCCCATCCCCAGGGCACCCCTGCCCCGTGTCTGACCTCCTCGAACTTGCGGGCCTTGTAGTGCTCAGCGCCCTTGAGGAAGTTGAGCAGGATGATGTCGCACAGCACCGTGCCCTGGGAGCAGCAGTGTTGGGGTGAGGGGCCCCACGCTGTGGAGCACCCCCGTACCCCCACAGAGCCAGGCCGCTGTCACCCTGCAGCTGTGCTGTGTCCCCATGCCCTCTAGCCATGGGATTTCCCCCTTGTGCCCTGGGAGGTGTCACCAGTGCGGGGCTGAGAACGTCCCCAACTCACCACACCGATGGAGGTGAAAGCAGCCACAGTGTTGATGAGGGTGGGCACGATGCCGAACTTGCCGGCCTGGGGGAGCAGAGCCCTTGTTGGCCAGGGTCCCCAACCCCCTGTGACCCCACAAGTCCCCAGCCCCGCACGTACGCTGCCATACACCAGGACATCGAAGCGGATCCCAAAGGCCTTGATGAGGGTGCGGCGCTCGGAGCCGTCGGGCCAGCGGTAGTACCTGGCGTGCCTGTGGTGACACGGGGACATGGTGACAGGAGCCACGCCAGGCAGTGCACACCCCTGTGCCGTGCGTGTCCTGGCCGTACCTGAAGTTGTATCCGGGGGCAGGGGTCCGGGCCAGGCTGTCCAGGCGGGTGAAGGAGTAGCGGGGCAGGCAGCGCTCCCAGGCCCGGTCCAGGTCACACACCCACCCGATCTTGATCCCCAGCACCCCCCCCTGCCCCAGCCCCACATCAGCACCACGGACCCTGGCCCCACGGCACCAAGTCCTGCATCCCATGGCCCTGTGCTCCATGTCCTATGAACCCACATCCCACATTCTCATCTCCCCAAGCTCCACATCCCCCTGCACGCTATGTCTCGAATCTCCATGTCTGTACACCCCATGTCCCCATGTCACACATCCCAAACCCCATCCGTGTCCCAGTGTCAAGCCCCACATCATCATTCTGTCCCGTGTTCCTGTATCCCCATGTCCCGTTCCCAACATCCTTATCGCTGCATCCCACGTCCCCATGTTATGCAAGCCCATGTCCCCATCTTCTGTGTCCATGTCCCACCACCCCATATCCCCCCCATCCCATGTCCCATGTCCCCACATCCCATATCCCATGTCTCTGTGTCCCCAAGTCCCACATCCCATATTTCTGTGTCCCCAAGTCCCATGTCCCTATGCCCTTCCACCCCACGCACTTGTAACCCCTGTGTCCCCACACCCACGCCATTGTCCCCCCGTGCCTCCCGTGTCCCCTGTGTCCCTGCTCACGGTGGCAGCCAGCGCAGGGAAGTCCTGCCCAGCCAGACGTGCCACGTCCCCCAGGCGCAGGATGGGGCACAGGGGCTGCAGCTGTGGGTGGAAGCGACACCGGCCCAGCTCCACCCCACTGCCAGGGGGTGGCAGGTTGGTCCTGGGGACACAGGGGGACACGGGGGACATGGAGGGATGTGCCATCAGGCAGCAGTCTGGGGTTCATGGACCCCCATCCCAGTATCTCCCCACCATCTTGTGCCTGTGTCCCCATGTCCCCTGTCCATGTCCCTGTGTTACCCCACACCCTGTCCTCATGTCCCCCCGTGTCCCCCCATGGCTTGTGCCACTCACTTCTCGAAGCCAAAGAGCGGGAAGCGGATGCTGTTCTTGATGAGGAGGGTGAAGTTCTCAGCTTCCAGCATGACGGGGCTGGAGGAAGGGAGGTGACACTGAGGACATGGCAGAGGGCATATCCCCTTCTCCTCCCTGTGTCCCCTCAGCCCCACTTACACGTCAATGGTGTCCACCTCGGGCGGGCACCAGCCCTGGATCTCGCAGGTGTGCAGGGTCGCGTTGTAGGGGACGCAGCGCCCTGTCAGCACCCCTGGGACCCCCAACGCTGTCAGCACCCCTGGTACCTCGACCCCTGAACTGTCAGCAGCCCTGGGACCCCCAACCCTATCAGCACCCATGGGACCTCGGCCCCTGAAATGTCAGCACCGCTGGGACCCCCAACCCTGTCAGCACACCTGGCACCTGGACCCCTGAACTCTGTCAGCACCCCTGGGACCCCTCTACTCCCATCAGTACCCTTGGGGGCATCTCTGAGACCCCAGAGCCCCATCAGCACCCCTGTGACCCCCGGACCACTGTCAGCACTTCTGCCAGCACCCCTGAGACCCCAGACCCCCTTCAGCACCCTTGGGACCCCCGGACCACTATCAGACCCCCGGGAGCACCCCTGAGACCCCAGATCTCTGTCAGTACCCCTGGGACCCCCGGACTGCTGTCAGATCCACAGGAGCACCCCTGAGACCCCAGATCCCCATCAGCACCCCTGGGACCCCCGGACTGGTGTCAGTACCCTTGGGAACACCCCTGAGACCCCAGACCCCCATCAGCACCCTGGGGATCCCCATACTCCGTTTGGCACCCCTGGGACCCTGATCCACCGGCTCCCCCAAACCTCCAACTCCAGAGCCCCGGGCCCCCCCAGCCCGCCGAGCCCACCGAGGGTCCGTCACTCCCGCCCGCGGTGGCTCCCGCGGTCCCTCGGTGCCCTGAGCCCCGTTGCCAGCGGGTCTCTCACCGTTGCTCGTGCCCGGGCTCAGCTCCCGGCAGTCCCGGTCCGCCGAGCAGTGGAACGCGGCTTCGCTCTGCGGGGCGGGGGTCAGCGGACGGGGGGCTCACCGAGGGGTCCCCCCGAGCGCCCCCTGCCCCCCCGCACCTCCGGGCACACGCCCTGCGCCTGCTCCTCGGTCCGGATCTGCTTGGTGACCACCACGAACACCGAAGTGCCCTGCGGGACGTGGCTGTCACACGACCCGTCCGGAACTGAGGCGGGGGTGGCCCCGCGCTCCTCAGCGACCCCTCCGGTCCCCGGTGCTCACCTGGGGGGGCGTGACGTAGTCGGCCGTGTCCATCACCTGCCCCGCGTAGCGCCCCACGCCCTTCACCTTGGTGACCACGGAGGACTCGATGGCGGTGTCCCGCACCTGGTACGCTTTCTCATGGAGGAACACCCAGCTGGGACAGCACCGCGGGTGACGCTGGGGACAGCCACCCCCGGACACCACGGGCACCCCCCGGCACCCTCCTCCGGACCGGCCCGTGACCCCCGGAGCTGTCAGCGCCAGCGGCTGCGGGTCCCCGACTGCCGCTTGTCATCCCCCCGCCGGTGGCTGCTGTCACCCCCGGGAGCACTCGGGGACAGGGACCCCAGCGCGGCTCATCCCCTTCTGTCATCCCCTGGGGCTGAGCGGCTTCTCTGCCCCTCGGTGTCACCCACGCTGTCCCCTTCCCGTCATCCACCCGAGATGCTCTCCTGGCTGTCCCCCTTGTGTCACCCGTACCAACATTCCCTGTCCCGCCTTGTCAACCGGCACGCTCTCTGGCTGTCCCCATCGTGTCACCCGCTCCGGCACACCTGAATTCCCGGCACTGACACATTGTCACCCGCTCTCCCATCCTTCCTCTGCTCCCGGCCTGGCCACCCCCTCACCCCGCGTACCGCCCGGTGTCCCCTCGCTGTGACCCCACGCCACACGCCGTCACCCCCGGGTGTCACCTGCAGCAGCGAGTGGCTGTCACCGCGCTGTCGCGGTGCCGGGAAGGGCTCGGGGGTGTGTCCCGGGGGATGTCCCGGGGCGGGCTGTCCCGGAGATGCCCGGGGGTGTCCCGGCGGCTGCCGGGGGTGCTCACCCGACGAAGTAGGCGAGGATGAGGAGCTGGACGCCGCGGTTGACGACGCCCACCACCCAGCTCTTCACCACCACCGACTTGGTGGTCTCGTAGGAGAAGAAGTCGCTCACCCAGCGGGTGCGGGAGCTCGGGAGGGACATGGGCGGCGCGGGGGCGGCCGAAGGCCGGGCTGCGGGCAGGGCAAGGCAGGGCTGCGGGAACCGAGGAGGATGCGGGAAGGGCAGGGCAGGGCAGGGCAGGGGTGCGGGCAGTGAGCGGGGATGCGGGCAGGGCAGGGCAGGGCAGGGCAGGGCGGGCGCGGGTGCAGGCAGCGGTACCGGCAGGGGCACGGACAGCGTGCGGGTACCGGAGGGTGTGGGCAGCACCCGCAGGGGTGCGGGCAGCGAGGGCGGTGCGGGCGGGCGGGCGGGCGGAGGCGGGGGCAGGGCGGGGGCCGGGGGCGGGGGCACGGCCCGGGGGGACGGGAGGGATGGCCCCCCCCATTCCTGGATGGATGGAGGGGTGCAGGCGGGCTCCTTCCCCGGGGTTCCCCCCCTAAAGGCGGGACCCATTCGAGCACCGGGGAGCCCCGCATTGGGATGCACGTGGCGGGTGCGCCCCAAACTGGGGATGCCTGGTTTGGGGGGACACCCCTGCAGGGGAGCACGGTGGGGGTGCCCCGTGCGTGCGGTTTCGGGGGTGCCCCGCTCTGGGCCACCCCATGGTCCGGTTCCAACACTTTGGGGCGCCCCGGATTTGGGGGAGGGGGGTGTCCCCAGAAGAGGTGACGTCACGGGGCTCGCCCCGTGCTGGCCAATGGGGTCTCTCCCCCTTGTTTCTATTGTTCTGGGCGGGGCAGAGCGGCGGGTGGGGGGTGGAGTCCCGGCCGTTTGGCCCCGCCCAAGCCTCTCGGTGGGCGGGGCCTCCGTCGCGCTGCGGGCCCGCCCCCGGTGCGGCGGAGAGCGCTGCGCGGGCCCGCCCAACCGCCAGGGGACGCACGCGCGGAACCGGCGCCATGGCGGAAGTCCGAGCGACTTCCGGCGGCGGCGGCTCCGCGCGGTTCGCGCTGCGCAGGCGGGAAAAGCGGCGGCGGCGGCAGCGGTGCGGGGGGGCCGGCGGGCTTACCGGGGGGAGGGGGGTGAGAGGGTGTCTGGATCTCGCAGGGAGAACCCGGAGTCAGGGCAGGCCGGGCTGGGATGGGGGAACGGGCCTGAGATGGAAGTGGGCTCGGGGCGGGTGGGCAGGCCCGGGGTTGGGGGGAGGCCTGGGGGGCCCTTGGCTGCTCGGGCTCGGAAGGAATTCGGGGGTGCGGCGGGTGGTTTGGGGTGCGGAGAGGCCGCATCAGGGAGGGGAAGGGCAGGGATGGGGGCAGTCGAGAGGTGCGATGACACAGCGGCGGCCGAGGGCTGCAGGAAGGGGCGGCACGGCTGGGGAAAGGGCGAGGTGGTCCGGGGGTCGCCCCCGTCAGTGAGTCAGGTGCCACCGCCAGAGGCAGCGTCCGGGGCTGGGGCAGTCTGGGGGGCGAGGTTTGGTTTTGGGGGCGCTGGGGAGCGCCAGGGGCCTGTCGCCAGCCCGGCTCACCCGCTGTCCTCCCACAGCTGCCGTGAGTGACTCCCGCGCTGCTGCCCCGGGCATGCCGGGCTGGGGAGGCTGCTGAACCCCCCTGAGATCGTCCCCGTCCCCTCCCACACCCCGCAGCCGCCATGGCCGACACGCTGGAGTTCAACGAGATCTACCAGGAGGTGAAGGGGTCCATGGTGAGCGAGGGGACACGGGGGTGGCCCCAGGGGCACTCCCAGCGTTGGGGTGTACGCAGGGGGAGCAAATGCTGTGCGGTGAGGAGGGTGTGGGGGGTGAAGCTGTGACTGGTTTGAGGGGGGTTGGTGGTGCCTGGTGGGTGCCTGGAGCCGGGGTTCCTCCATGGTTCCACGGGGCCGAGTCCCCTCATGCCCAGCTGTCCCACAGAACGATGGGCGGCTGCGGCTGAGCCGACAGGGCGTCATCTTCAAGAACAGCAAGACGGGGAAGGTGGACAACATCCAGGCCTCAGAGCTGGCCGAGGGCGTGTGGCGGCGCGTGGCGCTGGGGCACGGCCTCAAGCTGCTCACCAAGAATGGCCATGTCTACAAGTATGACGGGTTCCGGGAGTCGGTGAGTCCCTGCTCCCGCTGCCTTGGCCCTGTCCCAGATCCCGCTGTGCTCTCTGCCAGCCCCAGAGCAGCTCTGCCCCCCTGCATCTCCATGCCCAGGGCTGTGTGTCACCCGGGGCTCTGGGCACTGCTGGTTCCTGATGGTGTTGCCTCCCTCTTGCCCAACCCAGGAGTTTGACAAGCTCTCAGATTTCTTCAAGGCTCACTATTGCCTGGAGCTTGCAGAGAAAGATCTGTGTGTGAAGGGCTGGAACTGGGGCACAGTGAGGTTTGGAGGTGAGTTCCAGTGGTAGCCTGAGGCTGTGGGGTGGGATGTTCCCACCAGTGTGGCTGTTCTGCTGCCACAGCCATTCCCTTAGGAGCAGCTGCTTTCTAGGCATGTCCTCAGGGACAATGGGGACATTTGCCATCTTAGGAGAACCGGAGGGCCCTGTATCCCAGGGGGCTGTGTTTGATGTGGAATGTGCACATGTGTGCCATTTTCAGGGAGCCAGGGGAGCTGGTGGATGTGCCTCCAGCTCAGGGACCAGGACACATGGGGTCAGATAGTTCCTTTTGGTCTGTTTCTGATCAGTGTCAATTTCCAGTGATGCAGCCGGAAGGGAGAAAGCCTGGGGATTTTGGAGGTTGGGAATGCAGTGATGAGAGCAGAGGCACTGCAGGATTTTGGGGGAGGAGCGAGACTGTGGCTGGAGATGGGATTTGTGGGGCGCAGCTCTGAGCTGGCTGCGGTGTCCCCGCAGGGCAGCTGCTGTCCTTCGACATCGGGGAGCAGCCAGTGTTCGAGATCCCGCTCAGCAACGTGTCCCAGTGCACCACGGGCAAGAACGAGGTGACGCTGGAGTTCCACCAGAACGACGACGCCGAGGTCTCCCTCATGGAGGTCCGGTTCTACGTGCCCCCCACCCAGGAGGACGGCGTGGACCCCGTGGAGGTGCGTGGGGCCGGCAGGAGGGCGGGGGCTGGCGGCGAGGGACCCTTTGTGACCGCTCCCCCGGCAGGCCTTCGCCCAGAACGTGCTGTCCAAGGCGGACGTGATCCAGGCCACCGGGGATGCCATCTGCATCTTCCGGGAGCTGCAGTGCCTGACGCCGCGCGGGCGCTACGACATCCGCATCTACCCCACCTTCCTGCACCTGCACGGCAAGACCTTCGACTACAAGATCCCCTACACCACCGTGCTGCGCCTCTTCCTGCTCCCGCACAAGGACCAGCGCCAGATGTTCTTCGTGGTGAGCGGGCATGGCTCAGCCCTCCCCTGGAAGGGCATTGAGGGTGCTCTGGGGGGGTTTTGTGTCTTCACCTCCTCTTCTCTTTCCAGATCAGCCTGGACCCCCCGATAAAGCAAGGCCAGACCCGCTACCACTTCCTGATCCTGCTCTTCTCTAAGGATGAGGATATCTCCCTGACCCTCAACATGAATGAGTGAGCTCCCCAATGCCATGCTGCCCTCCCTGGATCCTGAGGGAGCTCCTTACACCCCAGACCCTGTTCTCACCTCTGCCCTCCTTCCCTCCACACAGGGAGGAGGTGGAGAAGCGCTTTGAGGGGCGGCTCACCAAGAACATGTCAGGCTCCCTCTACGAGATGGTCAGCCGGGTGATGAAGGCACTGGTGAACCGCAAGATCACCGTGCCCGGAAATTTCCAGGGGTGAGCAGCTGCCTGGCCAGTCCCTCTCTTTCCACCTGGTTCCCATGGCTGGGGGAAGGGGCTCTGTGTGTGATTAATGCTGGGGAGCAGGGCCTGTCTGCCAGGGCTGGGCACAGGGAGGATGTTTGTCCCCATGGATAGCACTGTTTGTCCTGCAGACACTCTGGAGCCCAGTGCATCACCTGCTCCTACAAGGCCAGCTCAGGGCTGCTGTACCCGCTGGAGAGAGGCTTCATCTACGTGCACAAGCCCCCCGTGCACATCCGCTTCGACGAGATCTCCTTCGTCAACTTCGCCCGCGGCACCACCACCACCCGCTCCTTCGACTTCGAGATCGAGACCAAGCAGGGCACCCAGTACACCTTCAGCAGCATCGAGAGGTGGGTGTGGGCTGTGGGGCCAGCCTGGCTGTGCCCACCGGGGTTCCCTGGCACCCCCGGTCCGACTGTGCCCTCTCCCCCAGGGAGGAGTACGGGAAGCTCTTCGACTTCGTCAATGCCAAGAAGCTGAACATCAAGAACCGGGGCCTGAAGGAGGTATCAGCACACAGGGCTGGGCTCGTGCCCACTGGTGCTGCCCTCTCCCAGAATCCAGCTGCTTTTCCCTCCTTTTTTCACCTCTCTTTTCTCTCCTTGCCCTTGTAGAGGAAAAAGGTCCGTGCGATATCCCTTCCTCTTTCTCCTCCTGGTGCAGGTTTCCTGTGCATGGCTGTGGTGGTCTCTGACTAACCCAGTAACCCCAGTGTGGTGTGCAGGGGCCCCCCTAACCCCCATAACTGCTCTGCCCCTCTCTCTCCGGGGCCCTGAGGGGGGAAGGAGGGGACATGGCTGTGTCTGTGCCCTGGCCTGTGCATGCCCAGGGCTGTGCTCACCCAGGGCTGTGCTCCTGGGTGAGCACAGGGAGCAGCTCCCATCCTGCCTCTCTGCAGGGAATGAAGCAGAGCTATGATGAATATGCTGACTCTGATGAGGACCAGCACGATGCCTACTTGGAGAGGATGAAAGAGGAGGGCAAGATCCGGGAGGAGAATGCCAATGACAGCAGTGATGGCTCTGGGGAGGAGACAGGTGAGGGCTGGGGCTGTGAGGGAGTGCCATGGTGCTCCAGCTCCTGCTCCCCGTGATGATCTGTAACACTGAGCCCTCACTTTGTCCTCCAGACTCATCCTTCAACCCTGGAGAAGAGGATGATGATGTGGCTGAAGAGTGAGTAGAGGCCAGACAGGGCTTTTCCAAAAGCCCCATAGGAAGAAGGTGCTGTTCTAGGGCTGTGTGAGCACTGAGAGATGCTCACAGCATGACTGGGATCACCTGGATTTGGGAATGTACAGCTCTGGGTTTGGGAATATTGGGCAGCTGA